TATCCAGAAGTGGAGTGGGATTTCCCACCCACCCCCTAAGTGACTGTTCAGCATAGTGAAAAAGAGGGGAACATCTCCTAGTGTGTCTGAAATGATCAAAATCTTCCACAAGACCAGTACGACTCATGGTCTCCAAGATGCCACTGCTATCTTAACTGATAGAGCTTCAGGTGAGCTTCATCTTAGCAGGTCTCCTAACCTTTGCTCTCCTATGCCAAAGAAAGATGAGATGGAAGCAGATACTGTAAATCCCTTTACATGCCCATCCAAAGCTGCCAACCTATGCATACTGCCATGGACATAGGCCAGCACATGACCCCAGGTTAATTATCTAGCTCCTCTGATTTCCCCCAAATGCACTCCAACTGAAAGATATTTTGAGTTCCCCCAAAATCTGCTGCAGAGCTTTGAATTTTGACTAAAATTCATCTAGCTGCCCTGGAGAAGTGCAGGGGTTTCACAAAGCAGGATCTCTCCACGTTCCCACAAAGCAGTCCACCCCTTCTTCTCATCAACTGGCATTGAGTGGACTAGAGTGGTCGTAATTGACTAGATAGGCAGGGTATAAATACAATAAATAATAAATAATAATAATAATAACTATCAGTAGATTAAAAATAACAACATGTTTCATGAATTTCTCTGACAACTGATAACCCCTGAAGGGAAAGGCATTTGCAATACATGCATGTTTCCTGGTCAAAATTATGAATACATACAATAAAATGAAGCAAATAGCATGTCCCTGAAAAGCTGGTGGTTGATTGTTCATTATCAGTGTATGCATATGTTTATAATCCTTGCCTCAAGGCATCTATGAAACCACCTATTGCCATGTTAAGTGTACATACACACCCACTTTATATGAACAAGTACATAGTGTGCTTGGGGTTTGTACTAAACTGGGCTATACCACATTATACAATGTTCACTCAGTGAAAAAAAATGGCAATCCAGACAGATACCCAAAAACAACCTTCTGCAAGACAGACTAGTAGAAAGACAAAATATTATCAGTCACTTATAGGTCTTGCTGTGACCACATATATTATCAACTATCGGCAGTCTATTCCAACCAATAACACCTTCCTCTTTCAGATTCCAAGTGAGTGGGTTGTACTCACAGACATTGTACAAATCTTAAACAGCTATTGACACACAACATGGTACTGGCACAGAAAAAAACCTGCTGTAAAGCTGGATGTCAGCTGCATGCCCACATCCACCCTGGTGTCACCATTACTGGCCTCAGCAATATCTCTTGCAAAATCAGGAACTCCTTAGGCTGATTATCCACCAATGTGATCTGTGCCATCTTCTGTCAACAGGGTTCTCTGCATCCCGCACAGTACAAACACAACAATCTCGGAACAAGAGTAGAAACTGAAACAAAGCTGACACCAGAAATGGTAACACCCCAAAGCCAGCTTCAGAATACCCATCAACCACAGTGACAGATAATCTCTCCCCCTTATCATAACAATTACATCCACAACAAAACACGCTGATCACCATCATCACCCTATCTCCCGAAAAGGTCAAAAGCTGTTCCCATAGCTATAAATACTCAACTATCCAACAAACAGCAACAGAGCATGGGTAGAGTTCCCACTCCAGTCCTCTGAAGATGCCGGCCACAGAGACTGATGAAACGTCAGGAAGAACAACCTTCAGAACACAGCCAAAGAGCCCAAAAAACCCACAACAACCCTCAGATCCCGGCCGTGAAAGCCTTTGAGAATCCACAGTTTCAGAATACTTCAGCTGTTCATGATCTGAAAGTGTATGTTGTATAAAAACAAATCACAAAGGGAAACTGGAGAGGGAAGCGGCTGAGATAAATTACATACACAAATTCCAAAGTGTGATTTGAATAGGTCAAGGATTCGTACCCTTTTCACTATGGATGGAGCCCTCCTGAAAAGAAAGTTATGCCAGCATAAAGGGAACAGTGTAACTCACAGCAGTTGCTGATAATTTACAAGTCCCTGCTTTGATTCCTCATTGCTCACCAATCCAGGGGAAATCCAAAAGGGAACACATTATCAGAAATTTGCTCCAGGAGTTACACCATTTCCCCCCACTTCTGTAATTGCACAGTAGGATTTTGACCAGTATTTATTAATAAACAGTTTTCTTTACAGTTTAATGCATGAAGAACATCACTGTTTCTGCCCCCCAAATCAGGATTTGATAGAGTGGGGAAAGGTTGCTTCTTGCTTCAATTCACTTCAGTCACCAACCTATGCTTACTTCCTGGATAGGCAACCAATGTGGAAAAATCCTCATGTTCCTGTAATTGACACTGTCATGCAGTATCCTGTTTGCAAACAGAACATAAAGGGTTTCTGCTCTCAGCGATCTATGGCTGCTCCGGTGATTTCCAGGTAATAGTTTTTAGACTTATGCAATGGATGACTTAAATGCTCATTGCACATCAATGTTGAAAGAACTACCTGTGGTGCAGACTACACTGCATGTGGTTTACATCACACAAGCCCCAGAATTCAGTACTTGTTTCAGTAATTCTCCTGTCAAGCTGGCATTTTAGTTTCTGTCTCTGTGTCCATATTTGCTGGATCCCTACCTCCACAATCTTTATATTAAATTCCTCAAAAATATATCCAGTTTATAAATGTGGGATATTTTGCTTCTGTACTCACATTTCAAAAAACTAAGAAATGGCTCAGTATACTGCACAATATTGTGTCTGCGTTGCCAGCAGGAAAAAGGATGGGAAACATTACATAACAATGGGCAGCCTCAATGTTGACAACACCAATGGCAGCAGTCAAGATGGTTTATGGGGTACCCTCTTCTGTTCACTACCATTCACACTTGTTGAAAAACAGCCCTGACAATTGCTTTGCATTTTGGGTGATAAGTGGTTAACTGATGAAAAAGGGAGTCAGCTTCTGGGATTTTCCCTTGCATGCTGTTACTTTGTGAACAGGTAGTGGTGCTAGTGGACTCCTGGAAGATCTTAAAAAGCATATGGAGTTGTGTGTTAACAGCATAGTGGTGGTACCAGATCAAAAAATTCTGGAAAGCCTCTTTCGGGTTTTTCATGTATATGTGAAATAGTATGGGGAATCATGGAACCCAGATATACTCCACAGGCTAATGGTGACTTTCTGCTACATCCATGCCAAATTTGGTGCTGATCCAAGGTCCAGTTTTGTAGTTATATTTCGTTTGCAGCATCCCTATTTTTTTTTCATCTAGTTTATGGAATGCTTTCTGCTCCCAAGAGCACAATATATATAATAAACTAACAGCTATTTATTTCACTCCTTGTGTCTGAAGAAGTTGATTGCATTCAGTGATAGCTCAGACTGAAATTTATTTGTTTATTTAAAATATTTCTATCCTGCCTTTCTCCCCAAAAGGGCCAAATAAATCAGTGAGTCTTTAAAGTGCCACACTATTTTTATTGATTTTTTTGCTTCTGTTGTACAGTAAAAAACAACAAAAAACAAAAGTAAAGTAAAGCAAAGCTGCCCCTTGTAAAGCTCCCTGAAGTTGATTCCCGCAGCTAACGGGGATCTATTTGATTTCCTACTACCAGACTAACAAAAACTAGCCGATGTCAAATACACAAGGGAGATGGGCTTGATTCAAGCGATGCCCAGGGTGGAAACCTTCCTGCAGTCCACCATACGTCAAGCCCGGGGTCCTTAGTCCCTGAGCACGTGCAGAGTTCCCTTCCTCCCTCAAGGAGCAATCAGCTGCGGCCTGGCTGCCAGAGCCTTCCACCTTCCCGTTGCTCTAATTTTAGAAACCAGAGGCCCCTGCATCTGAGGCTGGGTTCCGAAATGCCATTTCCAAGGAGGGAGCCAGCTTCGGGGCCTAAACTAGCCGTCGGGAAGCCGCCCGGGGGAGCGGCTTCCCTGTCCTCCCCTCAGCTAACACGCCCTGCCTTGGCTCCCTCGGGCTTCTCCCGCTGCCTCCACACGTCCGGTGCCAGCTCGCTCTGCTCGGCGCCTTTCCTCGTCTGGTCGCAGCAGGGCGAGGGGCCGCGTCGCTCGACGGCCACCGGCAGCGGCGGGGGAGAGAAGGC